CCTTTGCAGCTCGTCGCAGACTTAATTTTGGGTCTGCCTGATAGGCCTGAAGTGCAAGAAGGATTTGAGCCTCTTTATTAGATTGAGACATATTATTTGGTTGAGAATCAATTGATTAGATGGTTAGATGTAAGGTTGAGGGATTTTTGATCGGCATGCTTGTCTGATCGGCATGCTTATCGTGTACGTTATTCACAGTTCAAGCTAACTCGACGAAATGTGCAGGGCAGCCAGTCATCCCGGTGGGGTCTGGGGCCCCCGGTAGATGCATAAGATTCTGTTACGATGCATTTTCTTGGATGGAATGGCAACCTTGATTGGCTAGCGCTTGGACTAGAAAGCGGGGCGTGGTGTTGTACCTAGTTACTTCACGTGAAAAGACTAGTCAATTTTAGCCCTCTTTTTATTTGAATGCCTCCTCAAGTTTCTTGCAAAGACCAATGCTTGCTCAGGCTGGACAGAAATGGTTCTTGACGGTGTACCCCTCACTTCTCAATTTAGTGAAGCTCATTTAGCCCCTCGACGGATATACAGAGACACCACTTCCATACCAAAGAAGGTGAATAAAAGGCGGCGGCGGACATGGTGGGAATGAACTACATTGGTCTGATCAACCCGCCGTCAGCTGATGGACACGAGTACATATTATTGTGGCAGACTTCATGGAAAAGCTCAAAGTATCGGCCTGCGACGAGACAGCAGGTGGAGAACACATTTTTGATACCTGGGAGTCAGACCTGGCGTCTGTACTTGGATTGCCGAAAGTGATCAACTGAAATGATAGATCACCTTTTGTACACATCAAGGTGAAGATGGCCGCGGAACGAAGTGAGACGCCAACGGAACTCGGACCAACTTCTCATCCGTAGTCTACAGGTTTGTCAGAACGTGTTGTCCTTTTAGTGAAGAACCAACTCCAAAGGTGGGCAGCATAACCTAAACGATTCGTGTTGGATCCCTGGCATCAGACAGTGCCGGCTAGTACCACCAACCTCAACACCAGGTGGATTTGAAAGCATTGGTAAATCGACGGTCATGGCAAGGCTGGGATGCGAATCGTTTGTCAGACATCCTGTTGCCTTTAACGCTCTACCAGATGACAGGACGTTGACCGGAAACGGCTGCGTCTCTAAGCAATTGAAACCGACGTTGGTGGAGACCAGGAAGGGACTTCGTGAAAAGATTCCAAATTGAGGGAACAACATGACAAGGTCGATTGTCCCACGAATTCACCGACGGCTAAGAGTCGGCACAGTCGTCTAGAAAGGAAGCAAAAAAAAGAAAATGACACAGCCGGAACGCTGAAGACAAAGTTTAACAAGACATTGGGGAATATGTCCATGGTTGTGAAACAGATTACAGAGGTGACCTACATGACAGAGACTCTGGTTGTACCAGGCAAGATTCGGAAGCTACATATTGACGACTTGGAGCCGTGCATGAGACGCATAATACATGTTAAGCTTTTTAAACAGACACGGAGTGACCTCTGACCGTACCTATTATAATGAATGATACCTCCGAAACCATTTCTCGCTTCAGCCGTAGCTCCTTGTTCACTCTTATGAACACTAACATGTATGAACAGTCTTCGCAGGATCGGCCACATTTAATCCATTTACTACTCTGCCAATACCTCCACCTCACGTTTTCTTGCAGCTATAGGTATCGGATAGGTAGCACTTTCAAATTGCTCCCCAACCGCCGCTGTACGTATTGGGACATACATCTTTGAGCCATGCGCCACCAGAAGTGCGAGTACAGTGCTTCCGTTTACTGACCGTATGAGTTGACACTATGTGACACTATCTCGAGCGCAACTGGTCCGGTTGGATTTTATGTTTCCCTTCCATATTCAGATTCGAAGGGGCTCGCCGCCTTCTGCTTCGTTCCTCTTGCTCAATGATAGAGACTGCGTCCGGGATGAAAATAACGCCGCGTTCACGGTTATTGCGTCGCGTGTGCAACTTTCGATGGCTATTGAGGTTATCTTGGCGATTGAATTGGTCTTTTCCACAGAACTCGCATAAGAAACGGTTGGGTCCCTCGCCGTGAAAACTGCATGATGTGAGTTAATATGTCGATTGTTCATGGTTTTCCATTGCAACTTACCTTTTTTTGTGACGCGTGAGGTGCTCACTGCGTCTGAAAGCCTTGTGACAACCAAAATAGTCACATTTGCATTTCACTCTTTGGGCAGCATCAATTTGAACAGGCTTAGACTTGGCAGATCGCTTCTTTGGTGATCGGATGTGAGCTTGCTGAAGCTCTGCACTCTTTTGCTGAATATCATGCACCATCAGACTCCTTTGAGCTGGCATGGGGTTGGAATCGTCGGCCTTATAATGATGGGCACAAAGCGACGGCTGAAAGTGCCAGTCCTGGTCAGAAGAGTCGACGCCCTCCGAGAGATCTCTATGAGAGAAAAGTGAGATTGGGCTGGTGCTGGCACAAGACCATGAGGAACTTGTCTCTCCGGAGTCGGAGACGCCTGGGGTTGATGTAATTATGAAAGAGGCAGTACTGACTGAGGCATCAGGGGAGTAACCATCCATGCCAAAAGAGTTTGATGGTGTCAATGAGCCCATTGATCCTTGATGCGTCATGCCCATCGCAATCATTTGCTCGTACTCGAAGCTAAGTTGCTCTTGCTTCATAGAATCGTTAGGGAGAGAGTGGGGGAATGAGATTTGCTCAGGGTCATTTTTGACAGGGTGAAACATGGGCTCGCCCATTGCTGATAAGGGATCGTTCAACTCTGCCTGGTGAGAGACAGAGTTGTAAGTGATACCAAAGTCCATAATGCCAAATTCAGGCGTAAGGTTGAATGGTTCATGAGCTGATGAGGCGGAAGAGAAGCCTGTCTCGGTGGAAGGACATGGCATTGGCTGACTGCAGAGGCTGGACATGTTGTCCATGTCGAACCGGTAATCCAACTCGAACTGCATGATTCTCCAAGCGCAAATGATCTTTTGGAATGGTATTTGTCCTCTTCATAAAGCGAGTAGATGGAATGGCGTCCATAGGCATATCCGAGATTCTTCAATAATTCACCAGGAGCCGATAATGCTTCACCCCTGGAGGGTCAGGCTAAAGGCGAGAGTGGACCCCATGCAGCAAGACCCCCTGCGCTTTCATGGCTGGCTGATGCCGGCTCGAATTGGCGGATGCTACCTACATCAGGCTAATGCAGATATGAGGCGCCTCAATGTTCTAATCTCTCGGAGCTATGAACTGGCCAACAGGGCGAATCGATGGATCCTCAGTCTGCGATACGTCGCAATGCCCTCGCCTTGGAGTTGAGCATCCGACCGAGAAACCGTTTATCACAAAGTCTGCAGAGTCTTTGCTGGCTTAAATTATGAAGATCCTGACTTTGGAAGTAGTTTCATGGGGCAATCCGTTCGCACGATTTCATTGGAACTGACAGCAACACTAAGTGGCCTGATTAGTCCGGTGCTACGGGCATTTAACCATCACGGGGGCCGTTTAGAAGACAGTGGAACACGAATGCACCGATCTATCGATTGGGTCTTAAGTGGATTCTCAAGAGGTCTGTTTCGTGCTTGCAAAGCTCTGAGGGCGGGCGGTATCGCAGGGCGAAGTAGCAAATTATGTCTGAGCAATTGTTGACAATCGACCCTTCATTGTGGCACCGGAAATGCAGGTTCATGAGGAGAGAGACGTATCATTCTGCGGCATGTTCTATTGTTTGCCGTTAGTGACTGGTAAAGCACTTGCTAGTCAACATGACTCTACCCTACATCCGACCAGAGTAGGCTGGCGATAATCTTGGTAGTGTCAGAGAGGATAGTGGCGCTGTGACTGACAAGCAAATAAGCAATCACTTCGCTCATACTAACATGTTGAATCCATCTCTCAAGTTTGGGCTAAAAGGTCGATCGGCGTGGCGTTACACTCGGGCATAGAGCAACCTAGGCGAATCAAATCCAATAGCATGGAAGCAACAGCGATAAGGTTTCAGATCGCAACGTTTCATACGCTCATGCGTAGTCTGAGACGTTTACACATAGCTAAAGAGTAGGGATAAATCTTTACAGAGATGGGCAGACGTGTCAACGCTGCTAGCTTGACCGTTTGTTTCACATCCCTCTGACGTTCTCTCCAAATTACTTTTCGGTCGGTGTTCTCCCATTCCCCACGTGGTAAACAGCGGGCATGGCACAGTGCAAATGACACAACAGGCCGAGCAGAGCCTTGCCCATCCTGAAAAGGAAAATTATGTGCGGGGTACCTTCCTTCGCGCTCACAGAGACCACGGGCAAGCAGCTGGCTTGGATGGACAGGGCGAGTGACGACAGGGATGGTGGGGGTGAAGTCATTCATTACCAGGAGACCATGTAGAGTGAAAGATAGGCCTCTACTCGATCATCTTAATTTTCTACGTACCCAAGTAATGGAATTTGGCGGGAAAACTATTATCGAGCTCATAAGTCATAGTTTACTGCAGCAGTTCTTCCCTGCTGTTGTAGGAAGATGCATTGCTTCGGCTACCAAATTTATCTGCATGCAGGCACTCGAGTATTATTGGGAAAACGTCCCTCGATGTCCTGTGTAGACAGATGGAGTGGAAGCATTGCCATGTCAGGGACCAGGGGCCCACACGTGATAACGTCTAGCGGCGGTTGTTGACCGGGGCCATGGAATATGTTCCGACACTGAAGGTCGCAGAAGATGATCATAACCCTGTAAAGGATAGTTAAGCCATGAAAGATCAACTTGCCTTGCGAAAAAATGGGTCTGCCGCTGTGCATTGGCGTTCGCGGCGCATCGTCGGCCGACGGGCGGCCTCAACATTCGACGTTTCCAACAAGGCCAAGGCACGGCATCTGTTTCTGATTGAAAATGTTGCCAAAAGGGCTCTCGGGCAGACGGGGATGATTGACTCTTAGAAAGATGATCTACCAGCTGTGCGAGAGCTTCACTTTCCTGCTTATCATTACGCTGGCATGTCTACACTCGGACCGCCTCCGAATCTACTAAGCATCACATATGCTCACCTGAAAGACAATGTTGAGAGCGCACTCAATCGAAATGACTTTAGTGACGATCCTCTTCGCCAGAAACAACCCTCAAACGGTAATCACAATGTACTCTTGTCCCCTCAGCTGAATATTGGTCTGGATTTACACCCTTGTTCATATGTCCGTCTAACGGCTGTCCATTTTAGCTTGGGAATAACGACACCAAACGCGATTTGTCGACAATCACCTGCCCGCCCTCTGTGGCTCCGATAGAGATTTGAAGGCCTGGCATGTTCCATTCACCTGCTCTCCCTCGTCGACGGCTACCTACACCTCCTCATCCGATCCACTCACGTCACAATACCTACCCCGTACAGCACCATCCGATCCCCTGTTAGCGCAATAGACTAGCGGAGTCTTGATTTTATGGCGATCATCCGCTCCGCCTGCTGTTGGCCGCGGTGCCAATAGGGTAATCTTTCATGAAGATGCCATATTGTTACCGCTCGGGTTTCTTGTCCCCCGTCCGTCTTTGTTCCTTGACCCGACATCGCCCATTACCTTGACCGCTGATCTGAACCTGATGATTGCCAAGCTTGAAGCTGTGACGCCTAGCTCACGATAGATGGTCATCATATAAGCGGTAACTCCGGAAAAATCGGTAAGACTCGATGCCCAGTGAGTCGCCTTTCACTCCCAGATTTCCTTAGCTCTACCATCTTACACAATCTTTTTCCAGGATAACTATCTTGTTGCCGCGAACCTCGCCAGGGAATTCCGATTCAAACTTTGTGAATCGTGCCACAGAGATACATAACTTCCGGCACTTCAATCGGCCGACCATCTCAGGGCTCTCAAAAGGCCCATCACTTCCTCCACGTGGCCGGTTCGTCATGGAATCGCACCGATCAACGAGTTTCAGCAGCAAAAGGCCTGCAACAATGCGCAAGACGGCACAGGTCCCAGACAGCACCACGATGCCTCATGTTACCGATTCAATGGACTTGGACCCCTGCGCCGCCACTGCGTCTATGTTTCTGTACGCCCAGGGCTCATCCATAGTCTGCTGTCACCATGATACTCTCACCATTGAACGAATATTTTCACGACACGCATCCGACGTTCAATTATTGGCAGTCGATAACCACAATGAGGCTGATGGTGGTCGCTTTGTTGTTAGTTATGATGCTGGCCAAATAGCGATTGTGTGGGATCTAATGACAGGCGACGAGATCTCTCGACTTGCTTGTTGTAAGCATTTAACTGTCGCAGCATGGATGAAGAACGGCAATGTTGCTTTTGGCAAGTTCTTGAAATGGGTTTACCACGATAACAACTGACTATTTGAAGGCAACACAAACGGAAGTCTCATCATATTTGAGCCTTTAACATCCGAACATGTTTCTTCAAGCACTATTGACGAGATTGCTGTAAGTGCCTTGGCACCATTATCTGATTGTCGAACATTTGCTATCGGGTGAGGTTCTCCTGCATCTGCAATTCAAGCCTCACTAACACGATCATAGTTACCAAAATGGCTCTCTAATTGTTGCAACCTTGCAGCCACGCTTCACCATCTTACACAATCTTGCCACCTTCATAGGGCCGTCACCCATCGTTAACCTTGCATGGCATGCTTCTTCGTCTCGGCAAAAGTCCGATAAGCTTGCTGTCCAGATGCTGGATGGTGACTTACGAGTCTGGAGCGTGGCAAAGAAATACAGCGCCGATGATCCTGCAAAAGTGGTTCGAAACCTTAAGAAGGCTGAGATCTCCATGGACGGACCCAACTGGATGGGCTGGTCCAAGAATGGTCGCATAATTCAGTATTCCCACTCGTAAGTTTGCAGCTTGCCACCGCCATAAAAACCCCTAGGCTACGCGCGCGCTTGGCTGCATGACCCCATCATCAACTAACATATGCACAGGCAAACGTGGTCTTGGGATGTTAGAACAAAGCTCGTCACTCGTGATCCCATCCCAACTCTCGACCTTGTTCGTGGCCTCGCCGTCTATGGCCCAGGTGCCACGTTGTTCACCCTTGGTTCCAAGAACACCGTGCAGCAGTTCGACCTGAAATCCCCGTCCATCATGGTCGCCAATGTCCGACACCCAGCAAACATATTGCCCACCTCACCTCCAGTATCAGAAGAAACTCGTGATCGATCAGCGACCTCGGCTACCACTATCGCCTCCGAGTCTGAGATGAGCTCTATTCCCCTGTATATGGATATTTCCGAGAGTGAGGAAGATCATCTATCGCCATTTGCTCGCCTGACTCGACGCCAAGCTTACGACTCTGGTAATGAGCCTTACGAATCAGCTAGCCCTGTCTCAAGTCGGAGTGGACTTTCATCCTTATCGAAATCCTCAGCTGGGTCGTCTCACACCCCTGGCGGTTACCCCGGATCCATGAGGTCAAGAGGATTGTCAGAAAACACCTATATCTCGGCTGGAACCTCGATCAGGTCATCAACTATTGGCAACAGTGCTCATGGTAACACGAGAGATTTAGACACTTATTCCATGAGATGTTCTCTTGGCGCTACAAGTGTTCCTTCCATGGTCTCAAGCCGATCACGAAGAAAACCTTCTCGCCTGCGCAATGAAGTTCCCCGTAGCCCTGACGACAACAAAGTTCACGACCTATTCAAGTTTACTCGGGCATGTCTTAGCGATATTCCTTACAAGCATGCTATGAGTGCTAACAGTGCTCGTCTCACCAATGATGATCTGCGCCGTCAAATGCTCAACACCATCTTCGGATGGAACAAAGAGGTTGAAGATCTGATTAGGGATGAGATGAGCAGACATCCCCAAGGATCTGCCAGTCGTATTCTTTTAGCCAAATGGCTTGGCGATATTGATCTTAATATCATGAACGCTAACTTCGAGAACATGACTTCTTCTGACTGGATGTTGTTGGCTTTGAGTGGAATCGGCGGCCATACCTCACAACAGAAGCTTGGCCATACATACGTCCAGCGCCTGCTTGAGGCTGGCGACGTGCACACAGCAGTTACTATTATGCTTGGCATGGGTGATCACAATGACGCTATTGAGGTTTATATCTCTCACAAGCGCTACATGGAGGCACTGATCCTTACATGCCTCTCAGCCCCTAGTGTTTGGGAACGCCAAGCTGCCATTATCAAGAAATGGGGAGAGTGGGCGGTTCAACATGGTCAACAGCAGCTGGCAACCCGATGCTTTGCTTGCACCGACCAGGAGTCTACTGAGCCTTGGACTTCTCCATCAGCTTCGCAACTTAACTTCCAAGCTATGACTCCTAGTATTCCTGAGGTCTTAAGCCCGCCTCTCTCACCTCCCGGCGTTCAACGTGGGCCCCAACGCAGCATCGCAAAGACGTCTACACTCAAGCTGATCACCTCGTTTGGTGGTCAAACTCAGAAGTCTAAGTTCTTTGCAGATGTCAGTGGCCAAACTCCTATTGCCGCCGGTGTTACTCCTATCGTTGACTCTGCCGGTTCACCCGCCTTCTCGCATGCCTCTAACAATGAGGCCACGACAGCGTTCCTCCGCCCTTTAAACAGCAGCAGGTTCAACACCCCTGTCTCTGCTCGAGGACGCGGACGTCTACCGTCCATTGGTGAGATTCCATCAGACCTCAACCGAGAAGCACTTCGATCAGCTGAGCTCTCTGCTGTTCCTTATGACAATAAGCCTCAATCCACTCTTACTCGAACACCATCTGGCAATGACAACATGACGATGGGTACCGCATTGCAGCGTGCTGCCACTGCAAGCCCAATGATGATGCGAGAGCATGCTCAGCGCGTTGTCCAACTAAGTGATAGAAATTTCCCACCACCTGACCGAGCCACCATGTTGAAGACGCAACAGGTATCGCGCAACCCCCGCAATGATTCTCGTGACCGCATTCTGGTGGGGTTGAATTTGCAGCGACAGGTTGGACCGGCCCACGAAGACATTAAGTCTCCAGAGCCTTCTGTTGCTTCTTCTACCTGCTATCACTGGCCAACCCGCCGCAGAGGACCTGCCTCCGTGGCGAGCTCTGTCACTTCTGCATCGAGCGCTGGACAAAGTCTTCCTCATCAAGCTATGCGAAACCGACAAGATTACATCCACAGCCTGGATGCTGCCAGCCACTACTCCAAGAAGCAGCGCAACCGCCAACGTAGCCAGTCAAGAACTCGGGATGCTCCGCGCAGTCGACCTGGAAATCGGGAACAAACTGCTCGCTCTCGAGAACCTTCTGAGGAACGTGGCCATGTAAGTGCTTGCAATTGGTCCAAGGCGAAGCGATCATCTCCACCAATTCTCATGTCTCCCGAGGACTTGCTGAACTTAAGAACTCTGTGATATAGCCAAATTGGCGGGCCAAGCACAGAGTGCAAGGTCAGCAGATCGACTGTCAAGCCAAAGAGCAGAAATTCAAGCCATGGAAGCCGCCGCAGGAGCCCAGAAGGCCGCTCTCGCCCCCACAGCTCTCACACTCCGTGGCCTGAGTCAATGTCGAGAGGGTTTCTGTACAGCGTTCTCCTTCTTCACTCCTGTCTCTGAGTGCTGCTATGCACCATTACCAAGGCTCTGAGGATGAAGAGGACTACAGAGCAGCCATGGCTGGCCAGGAGGAGTTCAGAAACAAGCATAGCCGCAGCGGTAGCTGAGGTCTTAACTCGCCAACACTGGGCAAGCAAGATGCTTTGGAACATAGACGCAGAGCTAACTCTGAAGTTGCAAACTTTGACGGGTCTATCTCTGTTCACGGCAGAGCTGCTTCAACTGAGCATACTGGTGATCTCAAGCAAATGAAGGATAAGCGCCAGCGCAAGAAGGAACAGGCTGCCCGAGAACTTGAGGAGCGCCGCAAGTCTCTGGCTAAGTGTGCTTAGACACCTTCTATTCCCAACCCTAACGAGTTCTCTCCCTCTCTTGCGATCACGGTTAAGACGGCTGAGCCTAAGCCTCTGTCTGACGATATCCCTCCTCTTAGTGCTACTCTGCCACCTCAAAGGAGCATCTACGCCCGTAATGGCTCTGTGATTGGACTTCCAGCAACTCCAAAGGTCATGATGCTTATCATTGAGGGCAACCATGGTCAATCAGGTAGCACCACTAGACCCGAGGTGCCCACGATCCCAGCCGGCTTTTCTCAGAGATAGTCTCCCAAAACCTCGCCTCAACGGTCGCCTGAGAGAGAGGAGCCAGTCACCAGGCCTAGCCTCACTCTGCTACCATCAACCGTCTACCAGCCACCAGCGCGACCTCTTATTCCTCGCAGCATGTCGCCCCCAATTCCAGATGATCCTGGCCAGCACAGTTGACACCGGTGAGCGACGACGTTCTCACGAGTACGCCAGGCCCCTCGCTTTCCTTCAGGGCCTCCAATTCGGAAGGGACTCAGACATTTAGCGTCACCACCTCTATCGCCTCCTGCCCCTCTTCAACACATCCGGCGACATCAGCAGGCAGGTGCTGTTGCATCGGATATGGTCTAGACTGCCATGGATGATGATTTGCCATCTGGTAATAACCAAGCTTCAGAGGCCAGCTCTCCGGCTCTAGCTTCCCACAAGGGCCAGAGCCGAGACCGAAGCACTGAAGATATTAGCAGTATCTTAGTTCACAAGGTTAACAAGCGATTCCGATCTGCCAGCGGCAGTCGAAAGGAGCGTGTCCGATCTCCTCCTTTCGAGGCTCTCTACGAGAGCATTCCCATGCCTCGACAGATGAAGTCCCCTCCACCAGTGTCATTCAGCCCAGACGCTTTGCGCTCATCCACTGATTCGCGTAACAAGGACTTTTCAACAGGTTTGGACCGAAATGAGATGGTCTAGGCCGTCTCTTGGGACGGTGATGAGCATGCCGCATAGTATTTCACTCTTTTCTACCAGTCTCTACCAATTTTCTCGTCGTTACAAACCATAGTAGCAATAGTATAGCCATTGTTATCAAAGTCAGAATGTCAGATATTGTTTTTATTTTAATTTGAAGCTTCAAGTCTTGCTACCTCTCGAAAGTATGCTGAGTCCCCCTGTGCTAGTTCAATAGTCGGGGCACAGTAAAACTTGTCCGGCCGAGAATGCTAGGCGGTGCTGCGGTAAATGACGGCACGCTGTGCCGCTGTCTCTAAGTTCTCTGCAAGGGGTCCTACGCAAGCAACGGATCTTCAATCACCTCGGTATGCTCCAAATACCCACATCGCATATCTCAACTTGGCGTTCGTTGATACCTTACGTTACTTCCAATAGTAAGCCTCTTAGATGTGACATGATACTGTGTTGTTCTGGATACTGAGCCATTGTTGACAGGGACCAATTGAGCCCGAATACTCAGGGTTATATCCACATTTATTTGATTCTTCAATATACTCCCTGACCCCGACAATTAATAGAGATTAGTCCTAGGAAGCCGAAGTGTTAGAAGATTTTGAGTTCTTCCAATCCTGGCCGGCCCAATGGGACCGTTGAAGCAAAGCAGGATATCACCTAGCAATAGTAACGCTCTGTATTAATTACAGTTTTCTTATACCTACCAATTTTAAGAAGACTACGCTGCTCGATGGTAAGACTTAGTAAGGCCTTTGAAGGTCTTGAGGTCATTGAAAAGGCTTGAGGCCGCAATAACACCCACAGATTCATCATCAACGACGTGGGTATGAGAGATCAAAGCCATGTGCATCGCCGTTACCCATACTCATCGTCTGGTAAAGTGAAGGGCGTGATCTGACAAAGCTGGCACATGCCTTTGGATCCCCTTCTCCTGGCGAGACAAGCTCGTCGATATCCTGGTTCGATGACCATGGTATCCCATTTGGTCCGCCACTGGTTTCCAGAAGGGGAGCGGCATCGGAATGGTCGTTTGAATCTTGAATTTGTGCTAGATAATTGGGAAAGCCTGGAAGAACAAGCTCTGGATCGAATGAGATGAGAATGACGGGCCTCAATTGTCCAGATGCCATATGAGTTGGTGAATATACTAAGATTCGCTCGTCCATGAACCACTCGATTTCTTTGATCGGCTGGATGGGGCTGACAGCACCTTGGAGCTGAGCCAAGTCGTTATGGGGGTGGCATGCTTCCTGGTCTCGTGGCCACATTCTGACTGATGGCTCTTGTTTCATGGGCTGTACTCTGAGTTGCAACCCCAAGTCAGGGTTGTCACCTTCATAAACAAGGTCGACGAAAGCATTGCACGATGTATTGTATGAACGCACAAAGCATTCTTGGAGGGTGTATGCTGTGGCATCAGATGGGCCATCACCGATGTGGATCTTCTCACTTGACCGTTCTTCAATATGATCCTCGCTTCTCCATTCCGCCTCTTCGAGGCTACCCATGGCCGACTCGAGCGGAGTGTGTAGAGAATGCTCTGGGCGAGGAACTTTTGCTTGTGTTTCGAACTGAAGCTCCTTTCTGTAGCACGTCCTCTGGCTGCCTGCATTTCCCGGGAACCACTCCTTTCGAGTCTCAACGATGAGGAGATTGCCTGTTTTCTCGTCTTTGGTGAGCTGCAACGACGTCCAACGCTCGTCCACTGTGCACTCTGAGTCATGGAGACGCCAGAGGTTGCGCATTGGAGGTATCTCGCACTTTTCATGAACTGCATTATCTACAGGGAACCTCAAAACTTGGTAGAAGTTATTACGCATTCCATCGTCGGCTTCTGTTCTGAACGTATTCTAAACACAGTAAAATTGTCCATCGAAGATTTCAAAGCAGATGTCAGACCCAATATTTTCCCCGTTAAGGTCCCATAGAATCAGCTGCGAATCTGCCCACTTGCGAGTCTGGAGATTAAGGCAATGAATACCCCATCTGGAGCTACCATCGAGTCTGGCATGTGATTTTGAACCCCAGAATAGGTAATTCTTGTCATTGCGCACAAAGGGCGGGTAGCTTGAATCTGGCCTTTGCACAACAACCCATCTGGGAGATTCTATTAGCTCGAAGATGAGGAGCCAGCTGCATGTGGTGGAGTCTTCGAGAACTTGAGTGGCGAGACATGATACGATGCCCTCGGCGTAGTAAAGGGGTTTAAATGTATGCGAACTTTGAGGATCGTAGTCCCTCACTGCGGCCTTGAGAAGCAGTGCGACATCGACTGTTAACTCAAATGTAGGCTTCTTGTGGAGGGTGTCGAGTACATGGAAATGCTTGCTATTAACAGTGTAGCACAAGTGACCATTCGTATAAGAGAACTGATCTGCCATAGCCACAATGGCGACCGTCCATGGCTCTGCGGATTGGACAGCCATTCGTCGCTTAGCAAGTTTACGGAACGCCTTTGGGAAGTTCTTGGTAGACCGCGCCTCCTGAGCTTCTGTAGAATATGGTGCTTTCTGAGGTGCTGTTAGCGGGGACTACCTCACTAAGACATGAGACTGCGACACGAACCAAGAGTGCAAGACGACATATTCTTCTATCGTAAGGCATGTAGCTCAAATGTTTGCAAGTCAGGGCCATGTTAAACACATCTTCAGCATCGAGGAGCTCAACGAGGAGAGAAACAATCTCGATGGGCATTTTGAGAAGGCTCATGGCTAGCACTGGATCAAATTCAGGTGTACATAAAGAAGGAACATCAGGTTAATTAGCCGCCTGTCACTCAATCTCACGGTCGGCTGATGAAATACTCTCCCCCATCTATGCTAAAAGACAGGGCTCCCAGTTGAGCCGCATTCCCCGCTTTTGAGGACGTGACAGCATGTAGGAAGCTAGTACAGAGTAGATGGATGTGACTGGTACTTCTGGAAGCCTCGACGGAAGGCAGGCAGATTAACGCCACGTGACACGCGACCAGGATCCTGTGTGCCGTGCTTGTTGCCTTATCAAGCGTCAAACACGGCAAAAAATAGCTTGTCTTAATTTGATCCGGAAGGACGTTGATCCGCTGACGTAAAAGCTAAGATTTCAGTGTTGTTTTTCTGGGACCAGCGTAGTAACTTCAACGTTCACACTCCAATACCCCGCGTCACCTCTCTCTACGGACATGGCTCGTCTCATTTCTGGAAGCCTGGCCCCAAGCTCTCATGAATCTACGCATTACGATGACCACTCCTATAGCTCGAATGATGCTTCCTCGGGGGATGAGTCTTGTTGTGACGGCCAACCTAGGGACTACACCTTTTATACCCAGGAAAAGATTCAAGATGCCGTGGACCGTATTTTATCCCAAGCCTTGGAACCCTTGCAGCAGTTTTTAAAAACTACAGGGTCCTCTGCACCACCCGACGGACCATATCACTTCAAATGCCCCTTCTATGCTTCAAATACCGAGAAATATCGACTTTGTCTTGCATGTCATGATCTCCGTTCGGTTGAGCACGTGAACATGCACCTGGTACGCTATCACATGAGGATACCGTATTGCCCCAAATGCTCGAAGACCTTTGAAACGGTGGCGAAATGTGATACCCATATCATCAAGGGAAAATGCAAAGCTGGGCCCCTCATAATTCCAGACGGCATCAACTATTACCAGAAAAGCCAGCTGAAAAACAAAACAAAATCCAAAGAATACACTGACCTGCGTCCCGAGCAACGCTGGAAGTACACATACAAGTTGGTCTTTCCTGAATCACAATCGTATCCTTCAGCAACCATGGACACTGAGGGCGAGAAGAGGGTCTTGCAAGCTAGAGTCTTTTGGCAAGCCCAGGGTCGGAAATATGTAACAGAATATTGTCAAACTGGGAGCGGATTTGAAATTGAGGACGTACAGGAATTGTATAAAGCGTGTCTAAACGCTCTAGTCGAATATGTTGTTGATCAGAAGTTGATGTTTCGGGAATTGGGCTGGATGGATATCTTGATCCGATTCTTGCTTCTCTCATTCCTTATGGTTTTCTTCGGAAGACTGATTTCGATTCTGTAGGCAGGTATAGGAAGATAGCGATACTGGGGCCTGTTTTCAATTCTTTAGAAAATACAACATGAGGTACCAAGTTACAGCGAAATTAGTATCAATAGCCAGACTTGTCAATCGAACGAATGACTCAAAGATACCAACATTATACGTCAAGAATCTCTTGAGAATACGATCCTTGAGTCCAGGTTTCTAGCCGTGTCGAGAAATATCTTTCCATTTATCTGATGCATGTCACGCACTACAACCAAGCTGCCAAACGAATAAGCATCCCTTTGATTCACAGGAAGCACCATTGATGTATTTCTATGGGCTTAAACCCCAGTATCGATTAGCTGCTGATCAATACGCCACGAACACCAGCCTCAAGGGGGCATAACGCTGGCAGTCAAGGTTACGACCTGTAACTTGTATAACCAGAGGTACCTAAGTCTTGGACTGCTATTTTAGTAGAAGGAAGTACATTTGATAGTATTAGTTTAATTGGATTAGGGTATGTGGGGTACCCTAGAGAGTGAATGAGACGCACGCCGAAAGCCCTACCCGTTGACCAATACAACCCTAAATTTAGAACCTCAAAAAGAATTTGAGGAGCTGTCGATACGACTTGGTGGACGGCATCAGCACTCAATGTGTATATCAAACCTAACTCGACATCCCAGAAGCTGAGACGAGGGTGCAGATTAAGCGCCGTTCGACACGTTCCTTTATTACTTTCCCCTGCACGTCCATCAATTCCCTTTCTACTGTCGTTTACATTTTACTCGCGAAAGAACAAGCTTTCATTATATTAATAGTGTCATTGTAGAAAAGCCACACGCGACAACCTGTTAGCTAAGTGACACATCAAATTCTCGCCTCTATTACAGGGAAACTGGAGACGGCTAGGAACGAGCACTACCCATCATTTATGGTTTTCCTGCCGCTTCGAAACCCTGATCTGCATGTAACTTCTCCAAGCTGCTAGGGAAAAAAAATATTTTCAACCCTCTCTTTGGTCTGGGTTATTCTGATACGTTTCGGCTGAGTGTGGCTTGCATTATCACATGCTGCGTTGTCCCTTGTATGAACACCTAACAATTGTTTCGATAGGGATATAGAGCCTCACCGCCATAATTCACATGGTTGCGGATGTTGCTATTGGCGAACTGCTATTGCGACGTTCAGGGGACGCACATTCCGGGTCTCGAAGCCGATGACCATGTTCTTCAGCCGCATCATGGCCATCCCTGTGCAGAATATGACGGGCCATGTAAGCTACAGCTGTCTGCTATCAGAACCACAAGGACTTGATCACTGCTCCATGATGAAAAATACAGTTTAACTAACCGATACCAGCGCAAGATGAGATTCTCGATAATTGATTCACTCTCCTGTCCGACGGATGTAGGTTAATGTAACGAAAGCCCTTCATTCCAGGGACTGATGTAGAGACTCCCTTCTCATCTTACTTCAAATAATGCGCTGCAAATGTGACAGAAGCCGCCAGCCGTATCTAAAGGCCAAACATATCATACTGATCCCAGTCATTAGACGCCGAGGGAGCGACATGACTGGGGGACATGCATATTGTGTGCTGGGGTCTCTGACTGCTGTAATACATCTGGTATAAAGGATGTCAGTCGTGTATAAGAAGCGAAGATTCTAGCTTCACTGTCTTGTTATGGATGTTTGCCACGCCGAAAACGATCACCATAGAATCGACAAACCAGCACATTCCATCCCTGCCTTCGTTGGCAGATCCTCACCAACGCACAATGTCAAGCCATGAATTGATTCTTGTGTCGTCGACGATGTCATCTCCACTCCCGTCTTCTATCTTTTTATGCAATGCGGACGACGAATCAGCCGAACAGCCATCTGATGACACGGCGACTATGATTGATAGTGAGATTCAAAGTGAGGATGGAAATTTCAGGCCTGAGACAACGCCGACCGACACACCTATACCCCCTAGACCATCACATCTGGAACATCCCGGCAACAAGAACATTCGGCATGGAGGAGACTTGATGCATGAGGAGGTGGTGCTTATGACGCATCCAGTTGACATTGTTCTTCAGCTACTTGGACCTGCCTGCCTCCTTCTTTGTGAGCTTCATCAGGTCCTTCGCCTCAAGCCGAGCGAATTTCCTAAGGTGTTCAACGCTCAGGCTGTCTGCGTCCACAAGGAGTGCATTGCAACCAAGCAAGGCTATATTGATGTCGTCTTTGGCGGTAATATCGTTGGAATTGGCGACTTGGCCCATAAGGGACTTGAAGATCGGTTTGGAGACTCCAAAGCTCGTTTGATTCTTGATTTAATAAGTGGGAAGGTCGGGTTATTGAACATAATGGCGAACCTGCATATGTATTGCCGAGGCTCCGGGCTCGTGCAGTTGCCGACAACACTTCGGTGTACTGCCGCTATCATGTATCAAGACTTTATTCGAATCTTCCACTGTGGGAAATTGTTCAGTGGGAGACTGTGTTTAGAGCTTTTGGTCTTTTCTTGCAACAAAGGCCCAAGGACTCCATTGCCATATCAGATATAATAGTTATCGCGGAAACTTTGGTAGAAGCTCTTACAGTGAAAAAAGAATAAAAGAAATATCGTGTTCTTTGTTACCTGTGTTAGCTGCCTCAAGTTTATTCTTACGGCTTGCAATTCCTCCTCTAGGTGCCTGAGACGCTTGACCGCGAAATGGGTACTGCCTCTGTCGGAGATTAGTTCAGGAGTCGTACATAGAGGATTATGGATAGGAAGAAAAAGAACCATCATGCAATGGCTAACATGGTTTCAACAACCAGACAACGCACGTTTGCGGCCGGCCGTTGGGAAGGAAGATCTTGGAGAGATTACTACCCTGAACCCCTTAGTCATATATTGGCTCAGCCACTCTGCGTGTCTCACTTAAACATTATTTGATGATTTCATAGACTCGGAAACTAGCGGCGCTAGCGGGGTCAGTCTTCAAAGTGGCTTTGACGGGGGGCTCAGCCGGCAAGGCAGACTTCCATCATTCTCAACAAGTATCAATACAATGGCTGTGGTCAAGAAGCTCAGAATGCAAGTTTCACTTCTCATTGTCGCATCGGACTTCAAATCCTGTGACATAACACCCAACAGCTATCGCTCAGCATCATTGGTCACGTGAAACAGAACATGGCACTCTCCTCCGACACTCCAAATACAAAATCTTGAACCACAAGGCCGAGTGCCAGTCCTTCTACTTTCCTATGACCACGGCTAACCTTCCTGATCACCAAAAATCATGGGAACTATTTTTCATTGTAAGGAATTCTCATCGTCCTCGCTTTTAGTCACGCGGTTCAGCTTGCTGAGTACGGCCTTTGGACCTCCACTGCAACAGGCAAGTATCAAGCCGATAGAGACTTGAGATCTTCGACGTCAAGAGTGGTGTCCACGAGAAATCTCAATATCTTCTGACAAGACGATCTAATAGGCGCACCTCGGTAGACCTATCAGAGGCTTGTTGATTGAGCGCGGTCGCTACCCAGTACCAAGCCACCTAGCTGTTCGCATAACAGCTCGATTTGTCATCCAATCGAGTTTCGAACGAACACATAAGTGTGAGGATGGTCGATCCAAGCATCACAATGACCGTCGTGCTAATACTATTGGTGTCAATTCTTTTTCCCGGCCTGCCTACCAGCAACATACCTGGGCTTGCCGTTGATGGCGGGAAGACGAATGTGGACCTCGTCTCCGCCTGCACTCACGTTTTACTAACCTTTCCGTGTAGCCTGCGTTACATGCATGCCGCCGCTCTCAGAATGCACCAGGCACACAGAAAGGCAACAACAGCGAGGGGCCCCACCAGGCTCATTCTCTCTGGCCCATGTTGGCCAAATCGAGCACACAGGGCTCCCTTAGATGGGGCAATTTCCAGGGTGGCGTTGGCTTGTGGTGGCTAGCTCTGACAGGCGACGTTGGCCATCCTTGCTTTTCTGAAATGGACCAGGCTCTCGCGTCACCCTGACTGTGCTAACAGAAGTGCCCCTGGTTATGTGTCAGAAAGAGCAAGGCTCGTCAGCACACAGCAGTTGAGACGAAGCCCCGATTGAAATAGCCAATGGTCTGTGTTGAGTGATTTCTGCACCCCAATCCGAGCCGCGCTTGGTTCGTTTTTCTTTTATTGGTTTTTTTCCTTTTTTTTGTCCTTTTGAGACCTCCTAACCGAGCCAACGACGACAGCTATTAGCCATACATGACCAACTCTCGATAAGAGCACCTGCTCATGCCCCTTGCACCATTTACCGCATCCAGCTTACCGGTACTCCCAAATTGCCCGCGGAGCCTCTGCACAGGCCCGTACTACGTATGGGAATGAGGTACCTTGCTTGCATGAATTAAGACGATGACGGGACGCGGAACAAACTTGTGTCCTACAGCCTTCACTCTACACCTTTGCTGCTGGGAAGTATGGGTCACTGCAGGCTGCGGCTGTACATCTATGGGTCGCCTGTCATAGCCACGTTGTCTCTTTACTTCTATTGTCTGGCTTCCTCAGGTCGAACCAGCGTTGATCATCCCCGTTTCGCACTGACCTACCAATCATTCCCCGCGGCCCAACCATCGCCATGACCGTAAGCGTCTTCGCCCTTGTCAACATCCTGTCTCAAAAATAGGAAAGAACGCTTGGCCGATCTCAGTTTTCCCTAGTTCTTGTGCTTACCACTTTCACCACACCAGCAAATGTCGAGTAGGTGTGTCTTGACACCATCGCTTCAGCAATGCCTCACTCGCAACACGACGAAGATGCCACCCCAGCCGCGGACGATGCTCCTATACCGATAACGCTTGTTCCGACTCTCTCGAGAAGCCTTCACTTTACGATCGTGATTATCGAGTCATTCGTCTGGACCACGAGCTCGAGGATCTCCTGGTACATGACCCCGAGACCGACAAGGCCAGCGCTGCCCTGGATGTCAATGTGGGAAATTTCAGCGACGAGTCTGATATCCCCGGTATGGCCCATGCGGTCGAACATGTAAGTGTCCCAATTCAAAATTCGTGATGTTATACAACCAGGCAGTGGACTAACATTTCTGCTTGTCAATAGCTTCTTTTCATGGGCGCAAAGAAATTCCTAATTGAAAACGAATACGGCCAATACCTCTCCGCCAATTCAGGAAGCTCCAATGCTTACACAAGGCCAACATCGACGAACTACTTTTTTGACATTTCTGCCAAGCCGGACAATGATCAGGATCCATCCGATAACAACCTGTCTCTGCGCGAGGCTCTCGACCGATTCGCCCAGTTCTTCATTGAACCCCTTTCTTTCTGAGACCTTGGATCGGGAGTTGAAGGCAGTCGATTCGGAAAACAAAAAAAAAACTTGGAAATGACACCTGGAGGCTGCATCAGCTGGGAAAGTCTATCCAACCCTAATCACCCATTCTGTCACTTCTCAGCCGGCAATTTCGAGGTTCTCAGACACTCCCCGAGGCACGTGGAATTATTGTGAGGGATAAGTTCGTTGAGTTTCATGCCAAGCACTATTCAGCAAACCGCATCAAATTAGTCGTTCTGGGCAGAGAGCCGCTGAATGTACTCTAGAAATGGGTTGCTGAGCTGGTCTCTCCTGTCATCAATAAAAAACTTCTACCAAACAGATGGCCGGGCGAGATTCCCTCCAGGGAATCTGATCTCGGCATGCAGTGTTTTGCGAAGCCCGCCATGGACTCCTGTACTTCCCCTTTATCGACTAGGAGTTTATGTTTGCTACCCAGCCTAGCCGATACATTAGCCATCTTATCGGACATGAGGGTCCTGGAAGTATCATGTCATATATCAAGTCCAAAGGTTGGGCCAATGGTCTTAGCGCTGGTTCTTAACCCGTTTGCCCCGGCACTCCTGGTATCTTTGATGTACAAGTCCGTCTGACGGAGGAGGGTCTCAAGAACTGCCCTGGGATCGTCAAGATACTTTTCCGGTACATCAGGTTCTTCGCAAAGACAGCATTGCTAGGGCAAGGTGGAAAAAGGATGATACCTTCTGGGTTCCTCGCGCCGACGTCATTGTCAGCTTGAAGACGCCGCTCATCTATGCTTCGCCGGAGAGCAATGTCAAGGCTCGACTATTTTCTGACCTGGTCCGTGATGCGCTCGAGGAGTACTCATATGAAGCGGAGCTGTCTGGCTTACAGTACAACGTAAGTCTCGACTCGCGCGGTCTGTTCTTGGATGTTAGCGGCTACAATGATAAGCTGCCTGTGCTCTTGGAACAAGTCGTCACAACAATGCGAGACCTGCATGTCAAGGAAGACCGTTACGAGATTTTCAGGGAGCGCTTGACCCGAGGGTACAGCAACTGGCAGCTACAATCCTCCTACCATCAGGGTGGCGATTACACCAATTGGCTCTATATTCCCGAGCGGGACTTATAGTACAGGAGCTCGCAGTAGAGCTTTCGAGCGTCACATTCGAAGGTGTCAGACTGTTCCAGAAGCAGATGCTTGGACAGGTTTTGATCGAAATGTACGTGCATGGTAACATGTACAGGGAGGATGCTCTTAAAGCAACCGACATGGTTGAGTCCATTCTGAAGACACGAGTTTTGCCTAGAGCACAGTGGCCTATCTTACGGTCACTCATTCTGGCCAAGGGTTCCAACTATGTCTTCAGAAAGACCATCAAGTATCCTGCCAATGTCAACCACAGCGTAGAGACTTGGTTTTATATCGGTAGTAGAGAAGATCGCGATGTTCGAACCAAGGCTCTACTCCTGGACCAGATGCTCCATGAGCCAGCCTTCGATCAGCTCCGGATCAAGGAACAACTCGGCTACATCGTTTTCAGTGGACCTCGAGCCTTCTCGACGACATATGGTTTCCGCTTCCTCACCCAGAGTGAGATGACACCAGAATTCCTTGACTCCCGTATCGAGTCCTTCCTCATGAGATATGCGGACACTATGGAGAAGATGAGTGAGACACAGTTCGAAGGTCACAAGCGAAGTTAGATCGTTCGGCGCTTCGAGAAGCCTAGAAACCTGGACCGGGAGTCCACTCGCCACTGGTCCCAGATTACAAAGGAATACTACGACTTCGAGCTCGGTAAGTTTACACAAAGCGTGGTCTAAATATCCGCTAACACTCTTGACAGCCCAACGCGATGCCGCACAGATTAAGCTTCTGACCAAACTAGAGGTTGAAGATTTCTTCAACCAGCGCCTGAACCCTGCTTCTAGCCAGAGGGCACGGCTATGTATGTATGTATGTATATTTTTCGTCCGGGGGGCCATCGGCCCCGAAAGTCCCCTACTGGGGCACAGGACGTGCTGAGCTAAACTATCTACAAACGCTACCGTAATGATCCTCGCTCAGGTCATCTGCAAGGCCTCTTGCGTCGGAGCCGTATATATGCTCGAGCGTTTTCTGTACTCATCCCCCCAAGAGGCACCTCTCTACTCGTAGCTTGCCCTACAGTAGTTGCCGGTGAAGCACGTCCTACAGGACATCAATACATCTGATCTTAGCTGAGATTCCCTCCAGCAGCGTCTCCATCTAGTTCATCCAGCATATCATCGGCACAAAGGCGCATTACTCTCAAGAGGGCATCCCGTCAGCGGGAACATATCCCTCTCCAGCCTAGAATTCTCTTGCACAGATAGATCAAGTAGCTTTCCATGCCCAAAGGCAGGAGAACCATAACCCCTAAGATCGCCAGTAGCTGCAACCCTAGAACTATGCATCCTTAGGGAAACCCTTCGCAGGGGAAAAACCCAAGGCGGCCAGAACGCTGCTCTGTAGACGAGGCAATCGCCCCGATCCACGGTCTCCAGGTAAGCTCTGTACCGTTTCGACCCAGCGGTTTGTGTCTAGTGGTCTCATCCAGTGAGACATATCGTCGAGGCCCGGTTGTGTTCCGGGCAGCAGCCGAGGCTGCAGAAAGAAAGAGGAGAGTCTCTGGGCAGTACGCGACTGCAGAGATCGGTCAAGCAGCTTCCGAGCTGCAAAAAGGGCAACGAACCATGTGGGGTCCGTGCGTCAAGGTCGAGGGCACCAGAGGGCCCAGAAAGTCGAGCAGCCGAAGGCTGTTTGTGTTGTTCGGGCAGCTAAAGCTGCTGTAGTCGGTCGAGGCAGCGTTAAACTGCAGGCGAAGGTGAGAGTGAGGGTGAGGGCACGATGGCCCTCGATGTCAAGCAGCAAGATGCTGCGAATGTCGTCTGGGCAGCCGAGGCTGCAGAAGTCGGTCGTACGGGAAGTCGAGGGGCACAGAGGCCGGAATGTCGCAGGCTCGCGAAGCCGAAATGTCGAGGTGAGAAGAAGTCGCAGATAAGACAAATGAAATGGTGCCCGGAGGCGATGTCAAGAGCTCGCGAAGCTCAGTGCCGTTGAAGGCACATGTCACGAAGAAAGGTCAACTCTCCGAATCCCTTTCTTCTGGCAGCTGTTAGGGTCCCGCTAGTCCCACAGTTGCTTTTGTTGCCATTTTAGCCTGTAAAAAGTCTCTGCCCTAGCAGAACGCTAACAGCGGGCGCCAAGGAAATATTTTTACAGGAGAGAGTTGGCCAGAGGGCACGGCTATCGATTCATCTGCAGGCCCAGGGTAAGGCGGAAGGGGTTGATAAGCGACAGAAGAGGCTCAGAAGAAGGCCCACGAGGAGCCCTCCCCAGGAGATGCCGTGAAGACGGACGAGGAAATCACCGATGTCAGGCTTTACAAGGCTCATCTCACTGCCAGTTCCGGAGCCAAGCCCGTCAAGGACATCAGTGAGTATGAGGATGCGGATGTAAACCTTTAGAGAGTTTACTTTGCCTTACTTCTGGGCTAATCGCCTAACGCGGGTCGATAACTCACTGAATGGAAGTAAGTCTTATATGGAAGCACAGAGAGTGCATGTTGGGATTTGAGGGGAGGACCCTCGGTGAGGCACCAGCGAGGTCACCATGAGATCATACTGCGTTTCCTCCCCTCTACAGGAGAGTTGGTAGCGTAGTAAGTTGTAAAGCAATCTCAACAGCATTGAAGGGGAGAAGAGGCTTCATAGGAGTACTGATATAGTCCTCGCACTTCACAATCCTGCCGTCGAGAGGACATGAGGATTGGGACTTTATAGGTCAGTCGAACTTGGTTCAAATGTGTTATTGTGAAGGGGAACTCAGCTTGATGGGATTTACTGGACTCTTCGCAACGGCTTACAATATACAATACCTTAATTATGACATTCTCAGTCGGTGGACAACGGCCTGACACAAGGGAAGAAATGGCCAGGAACTATGGCCATACCGGAGGGTGCAGTATTAATTCACATGGATGACAACGATGAGATCTAGATTTAAGCAGATGATGTACTTTTCAAGCTATATAGTGTAATTAAATAGCTGACAGATAAACGCCAATTCTCGGGAATCTTGGAGCCATGACCAATAATGCTCTAGCGATCCTGTGGCTAGAGCCGGAATAGCGACCTAAAGATTCTTCTCATAGAGAAGTATGGATACCTATAGACTGTCAGATTAATATCAAGGAAACCAGGAACTTGATGCCAAACTAACTTCTGCTGCGAGTGATAAGTCTACGACGCATTCAGAAACAACTTTGGGTGACCGGTGACACGAGCGCCAGACGCTAGTAGAGCATTTAATTTACTTCAACTTGATGTGCTCTTAAATATGCCTCTATTCGCGCACCACCATCCAGCGGTTCTCCCGCGAGACAGAGTTGAGTTTCGTTACATTACAAGCTCATTCCACGCAATGAATACTTGGATTGGAGCATTTATCTAGTGGCTGAGCCCTCTTTCAACATACAAACATTTATAAGCACGTTAATCCATTTTCCACTTGTCCCTGCGTGGATACGCTTGAGGTGCTCTCTGAAATTATCCGCTCGAGGGAACTTCGCGGAGGATTTGCATTTTCTGAAATTATGTACTTCTTCCAGATGTCTGAGGCGCTCTCCCCTGTCGTGATCCGTGACTGTTTGAGGCACATTGCCACTAATAGAGACACCTATATCAGGGCCACATCCCGATCGTGGGAATTCATCGCCACAGTAGCCGCAGGTGTCAGCTTGGCCAGGCCTGTCAGTAGATTCGTGAGAAGCGCTCTCGTATCCGGAGAGAGCTGAGCAGGACCATGAGCTGAGGCGTCCATGCGTCGATTTCTTGTGTCGTTCTACATCGCCTTGGTTCTTGAAATAGTTTCTGCAGAATGCACATTTGTACGGCTTTTCAGCTTTGTGAGTGCTAGTTGTTGGTTAACTTTGAAACATATACGATAAATCCTATCACCCCGAGCAGTCCCATTCAAAACGAGACTACTGGGTTGAAATCTGACTTACTTGAGTTCCTCAAGCGTCTCGAACCTCTCGGGCTTCTTGGGGCAACACTCGCACACGAAGGAGTCTTGCACCTTAGTTTCGCCAGGCTCCTGCACTTCGGTAATCTTAAATGTGCTTGTGCCCGATATGTCCCTAGAGCAAATTGATCCTTGATCGGACGTGGAGGTTCGAGGGCTTGGGTTGGTAAATATAGTAGCTGTGTCAGACGAATTGTTAGCGTCAGTGGCAATAATAAACAACAAGAGAGAAGAGACTCACTGGGCTTTTCGGCATCTGAACAAAAGGTGGTGTACAGAATGTGTAACTTCTCCTTCTTTGGTATGTCCATGTTGCCACGGCATGGCAGACCAGTCATATGGTTCTTCATATCCTTCTTGTCAAATTTGGCATAACATCGCAAGCAAAGGACCACACCATGGTGGCTCTGGTTAAAATCATCGTCTCCCCATGTAAGCAATGAGCAGCATTTCCTGCAGTCCCCTCCCTTGTTGCTGAAGTTGTCGCAACTATCACAACTCGCCAGGTATCCCCAGCTACGGGAGCCGTAGTTGGGATGTATTCCACGAATGAGGCCATGATTATTGGCGACATGCGCAACAATATGAGATATTTCTTTTTTCAGTCCAAAGCATGCTTTCCAACCAGGTAGAATGAGACTTGGCTTATATAGCAAGAAGGGACAAATCTTGTCTACATTCTGGAAATCATCGGGCGTAACCGGTTCGCGTGATTGACTCTGTGCTGATTCATCTTTTCTGGGGCTAATTGAGCCGGTACCACCAGCAGCATCAGAAGACCGTGTAAAGCTCCGAGTTCGTCGCTCGGAGTCTGGCGGTCTTGTTTGAGGCTTTGGTTGTTTGTTGAATTTCGAGTCGCTCTCTACACTTGGGCTAGCTCTTGTGGGAGCCTCCTCATTCTCTTCTGCTCTTCGTTCGGGTAGGCCTGGGGGAGTCTGTTCGGGGTATAGCTACGAGATGTCAGCTGAATAGGTATGATCGCGGGTGCTTGGTATACCTGTTGAGTTGAAGGAAGGTGAGCTTTGTAGTTTCTTTCTACGTTATCTTGATTGTCACCCGTCTTCTCCAGTAGTAGGACGGCCTTATGAGCGCTAGTTGTTGGTCAGCTTTGAAACATATACGACGAAACCTATCGTCTCGAGCAACTCCACTCAAAATGAGACTGCTGAGTCGAAATCTGGCTCACATAAGTTCCGCAAGCGTCCCGAACCTCTTGGGCTTCCTGGGGCAACACTCGCACACGAAAAGGCCTTGCAACTTAGTTTCTCTAAGCTCCTGCGCTTCAGTAATTTTAAATGTGCTTGTGCTCGATATGTTTCTAGGGTGAATCAATCCCTGGTTGGAAATGGAGGTTGGAAGGTTTAGATCGGCGGATACGGTAGCTGTGTCAGGCGAATTCCAGGAGCTGTGTGAGATAGGGGCTGGAGATGGGCCCACGAGCAAGCATTGAGCCGAAGAATTAGCAGTTGTAATGCTGGTTGGGTGCATCGACGTTGACATGGTCGAAGGGTATGAGTTGGGCCGTGGAGGAGATGCGAAATGATCTTGGGGAGAATCATAGGAGCTCGACTCGCGCCGCCAGGACATGTGCTCGTCGTTGGGGCTGGCTGCCCTTCTTTTGTGACCGCCAGATATGTAGGTATCGTAAATGCGAAGTCTCTTGAGCGACTTTTCATCTTTCATTTTCATGTCCTCTTCTTCGGAGAAGTCGTAGTTGGGGCTTGCTGAAGCGGCATCACCACTGCTATTCCTCTTTGCTCGTGTTTGGAGTGAACGATAGCTATCGGAGCTATCGTTTGGCCATCTGTCACTGTGGTAGAAAGGCGCTGATCGAGAAGAGATGGCAGAGGGGAATTGACATTTTGTGGAAGGTTGTTGAGGACGGAACTCGTCGGGTGGTGACTTTTTCCAACTTCTAGTTCTGTAGAGATTGTCCTTGAGTTTGTCGACTTCGATAGCGGCAGGGGATTGAAACTGAAATTGTTGGTGAAGGTGGCCGAATAGAGTGGGAATAGTTTCTGGGGATCTGCAATCAAAACAATGTTAGTTGGTCCATCCAAAGTTTATACCTAGCCATTGAAAACCTGAATAGCACGAACATTTGGTGACTCGTATTCCGTACCTGTCAGTTGATGAGTAAGTAGCATAACTTTCGTGGTTGTTACTAAAGGTGGTTGTGTTGCCGCTTGGCGGGTAATGTGTAGAATATTCGTCAATTGACAAAGGCAAGTTTCCAGAACCGCTTGCAAACGAATCATGAGCATATTCAGATTTGTCCATTGCATTTTCAGCCAAGGCATCAAATTGATCACAATCGGAGTTTAGATGAGATTCGGCCGTGAAATCTCCCGTCATGTTAATGCCGTAGTTGCGGGTTAATGGAAACCTGGAATTAGGCGACTGCGATTTAGAAGAAAACATTGGATGAGGTTGGTTGCGCTTGCCTGTCCTCTTTAATGGCCGAAATCCACGCTTTGTACTGGATCGATAAGCCAACCACGAGGGCCAATGAGAAGGGCATTGGGAGCGGGGCGGGTCCATTTCAGGCTGTCCATCGTTGGGGCAGGTGGAACGTGTACGCTCCAAAGACAATATGGGTTGGCAGAGGAGCGGAAACTTCTGGGTCCCTGGATATACTCGAGTACTTGGCAGCGAGATAAGCTGAACAGCCACAATAGCGGCAGCGGATCCCTGTCTACAGCGGTGTACCTCGCGAAGCACGGTCTTCAATTTTTACTGAACCTCAATCAAGTTCATTGAAGAGCCTCCAATTGGAGACCTTTGATAAGATGTGGATCCCCACGCTTCACCAAACACGGACGACCTGGGGCAACGATCTCTGACGACATCCCGATCGCTTCTCGGGGAAGATGGTTTGCATCCGGTGCCCCTCACCACGATTTGGAGAGCTGGCCTTGGTACAAAGCAGCACCCCGGATTCACATGCACGTACACCCGCATCCCTGGTGCAATCGCCAGCCGTTGGACATGCGTTCCCTACCCACAGTATCCAGGTGGAATGGGGACCAGGGATCCGTTGAGCTCATGGTACCTGCGACCTGGAAAAATCCATCTGCAATTCCCTTACAAAAGTGCTTTGTCGTTAGAGTCCTCTGAACAAGATACCGTCTTCTAACTACCTGCATGGGGCGCATGGCGATAGAGACCCATTCCTCAGCTACATTGATTGTTCGTTCCTCAGCTGAACGTCAAGCGAGACACTTCAAAGTAGCGACTGTCATCAGAACACAACGGCCGCCGGCCTCCGGCAAACCATCATGATCATTCTTTCTTTATTTACTACATCATTCATGTCTCCTGGTTCACCAAATTACCCTGTAGCGCCCCTCGCCATTTTGACCGCACCATCGATCACCCTCTGTAAGCCTAATTAGATACACACTGAGGTCTTTTCTAACCTCATTATTCCATAGGCTGGCCTCCTTGGGATGTAGTTGCCCTCGTTATCCACTCCGAGTTACTGGAGGGTGAAACCTTTTTTTTCTTCGATATCGTGACAAGGCGTTGCTTGGAAGTGAATAGTGCAAGACTATTCAAGACCAGTCCCCCGTAGCCTTCCTCCAATGTGAGCGAGGCTACTCAACACAACCTTCAGACCCATCCAGTGGGATATCACGAGATGGCGGGTCCATGAGTTCACTGGTCATTCAACTACGACCCATAGCCATTTGGTATCTAGGTGTTGGTTCTCTGCACATGCCCCTGTACTACATACTAGCCGAGTTGTCTGTGATGTCGTGTTCGTACTGCTGTAGACTGTAGATGAGCTAGGCCCATACCTTGTCCTGGAGGCGTAGGCAAAGGCGCATATGCTCCGTTAGTCTAGTTTATCCTGCTGGACGTCGCTTCTGTGCTGCTGGGACTAGCACTGTATTTGCCAATATTCTTCTTGAGCGCTGACTCAAGAATCTTCCATGGGAAAACCTTCACATCCTTCTCAATGTTGCGGGGCTTGGGGCTAGGAAAACCCATAATGATCTTGAAGAATTCCTCGCTGTCGGGTTTGGCCTTGGATAATGTCTGAGGATTGAAACCTTTTAGGTTACGACGGATGCGGTTCTTCTCCTCAACACTAAAACGGTTCGGCGCTGCGACAAATTGCTCGAGAAGGCGGATAATGTCGACCGATGTGACATAACACTCGCCTTTTTCGGCCCACCAGATGCATGATATGCAGATGCTGTTGGCTGGTCGCTCATTGACGCTTACGGATTGGCAGGTGGCGTTGACAGTCGATCCTTTTTGTGTCTTACGGAAGAGGACAATCCGACGACGGTTGGAACATTCCTCGGATGTCCACTTCTCGACCATCGATTCTCGCTTGCCTGAAATCTTCAAAACTGCCTTGCCAGAATAAAGCGAGATAGGATGGTAACTTGTGTTGTTTCCAGCATTGGTAGTTATGGTGCTAGTTCGGACAAGTTGGGGAGCGCCCTTAGTGTGAGACGGAGGCGACATTCCCAAGGATGTCAAAGGCGGACGACCAACCGAGGAAGTATCCAATCCACCAGGGCCCCTCCCCGTGCTGCCCAGCGTGCTTGGATAAGGGCTCCATCCAGCCGCCGGGCGGCGGTGGTAGTGCGGGTCCGTGAAGCTCGTGCCTCTGCTGCAAGTGCTAATCATGCCGCCATTTGCTTGCGGGAAGGTATCACCATGATGTTCTCGTTGAGATGGATTTTCATAGATATTTGTATCTGATGGCAGCTGAGGCTCAACCTTAACTGGGGTACTCAGCTGATCGATCTCAGGGGCAGGTGCTTTATCCTCATGCTTGAGCATCTTAGTCGACCTTGTGTTGTCATCCCCCGACCCTTCCAGAAACTGAAAAGTACCAACAGGGACTCGAGTAATTTCTTCTCCCGAGGGACCGCCGAGAACGAGCGATAAGGGCACTTTACTGTTTGCACAGTTTGTGGCAAGAAATTGAGGCGCATCCCCGCTGCAGGTGTAGATGAACCCAGAACCGTCTTGCATATCTCGAGATACATCTTGAACCGAACATTTCTCAGAGCCGAACATCAGAAACCATTGTGGAATCGGCGACGATAACGAGAACAGATCATATTTGGACGAAAGCTTTACAAAAACTTCAGTGCCAAAAAAGCCTCTTGCAGGTTGGTACGATACAAATATCGGAACATGCTGTGCCTGGTCGTTGAAAGCAAACAACTGCTGGTTTAATTGAGCAAACTTATCGGATGGTTGCTCAGTCGGATAAGTCTGCGCGAGAGTCGTTTTCCAGCTGCTCGGGATAGATGAAACTCTCCAGAAAATGATGTTCCCAAGAACCCTCAGGGCTTGACAAGAAACGCTTACATTTCTCGCATGAGTTATAGCATCGGTTTGCTGCGGTAACGTCGCAGCGATCGTCACGGCGTACGCTCCCCTGCGAGTAACAGATACTCAACCATGGCCATTACCAGAGAGGCGACAGTCGCCATTACTCGGAGAATGACGATCGTCCTCGCTTTGTTCTTCAGCTTCGTACTGTACCTACAGCTTGAGTTCCCCACATTTCTTCGACCTCGTGATAGCTCTAGGCGCGTAGACGCGTTCCCAGATCCTAACCCAATATGTTTTATCGCTTCCACAACGTCGTCCCCTACAGTAGAACGACGTATAGGCCTTCGCAGGCCGCGAAGCTCAAGCCCCAGCAATTAAATACACCGCGAAAAAGGACAGCGAACAAGCCGACAAGCCAGGTTTAGCCCTCCTTTACTCGTAAGTCGACCGAACTCTGCAAGCAGTTCCGCCTCAAGCATCGGTTAATTCTATGGGATCAGCGACGAAGACACGCTAAGCAATCTCTTTGCTTCTTATCCACAGACTTTTTCGACCTTCCCACGGACCCGCGGCTCGCAGGGCCTCTACGAACCTGTGTGGAATCTGCGGTTTGATCACGAGATTCACCTTCAAAATGACTTTCCATCAGGGAGAACACGACTTCAGCGAGTCAAAGCCCCCATTCCAGGCCCCGAAATCGATCCTCTACCTAGCATCCGGAGGGCGAGGAGTCAATGGGAGCTAGTTGACAGCGATGAGGATATACTTCCTTCTATAGTAGTCAGAGTAGAGCCTCAGGCATGTTTCCTGAGCAATAAACAGAGCAAGAATCTTCCATTCAAAACGAGGCCTCTTTAAACACCCTGCTATGCCAAGATCTTGAGCACTGGGAGGACTTTAGGCAAGAATAAGGTCCTGTTAAGAGAGCTGGCCACGCTGAGTTCGTCAGGAAGTATATATGGGTCTGCGCGGAACTGGCCAATTGGATGTTCTAAAAAGTCATGCCGCTGTAAGGTCATGCCTCTGTGTTAAAAACATCATGCCGCTCTATCAATTCCCTTTATTTAAATAGCGCTAAATTAGTGTCCGTAGTAGCGTTTTGCCCAGAGGCGTGTTGAGTTGCGCATTTCTCGGCATACACATTGCTCATGATTTATCCGCAGACTAGGCAGTTTCAATCAAGGCCGCATAAGTAAAAATACTGTGGCCTAACCAGATCCTTTACTTCCAATAGAGGGCGTGGTTAAGAACAATCGCTATTTGTCTGTTTATGCACGCACTGTTTGGAAGGTAGCAGTCATTTGTTGAACAGGTGCTGGGGTCTCACGTGCAAGCAGGGATACTTTAAGATTACAGCCGATATGGTAAAACCTCTAAGGGGAAGATTTCAACAGAACACAACAGAACATAACATGAATACACCAATTCACATCAATGAACCGAATGCACGTAATGTCTGACATCATTCTGTCCCGGTTCGCGCTGCACTGGTAAGCGCTCAACAAACATGTCCTACCTGGGGCACAATCTCATGTGGTATTTACGACACCTTGTCACCTTGACAGCTGACTTTCCGTACAACTGACGTCTTTACCCCTGCTTGTCTCGTAGTACCCATGTCTACCTGCGAGATCAAGCGTATATTTTACGGTGATTGTAGGGAATAGGGACCATTTAAACAACAAGGGATACGCAAATGGCGATGCGTCATCAACGCGTCGCGAGACCGCTAGCACTAGTCATGGCCGTAGATCTTTGAAACGATGCGCTTCATGCACGAGTCACTAACAGAGCATTCTCTGAGCATAGATCAAAACATGTACCGGTACTTTTGGTCTGCATAATCTTTCCCCTCATTTCTTTTGCACAATGTTCCTCCACTTTGCGTCCATCGCATCCATTGGCTGCCTGTGTATGCTAATAGCATGTCCGAAAGCCATCAGTTATCAAATTTTACGAGTCGGATGCTGGCCTATTCTCGATATACATGAAGTACTTACCCTCTCCGGACTTTAATGCGTTGAGACATCGCCATGATAACTATTTCAGCGGTACGGACAAAGATGCTGACTGCATCCTCTACGATATGGCCTCGGCACTTGAATACCTCCGTCGCGAGCGTATCTAGCACAACGATATCAAACCGGGAAACATTCTTTACGCTCTGAACGCGGCGCTGTTCTCATAGATTTCGGCCTGGCTGGAGTCCACGGTAGCCAGACATGTACCGGCGGGACACCTTGGTACGTCCCTTGGGAGTTCTACACGCGGTCCGAAAGAGAGCCTAAAAGCGATATCTACGCCCTCGGTGTGGTCATGCTGTACGTTTTGAGAAAAAGTCCACTGCCTGATGTGACTGAGACTGGTTGGATCATTTCCAAGGTCCTCAGGACGTTTCACAAGCCGCCATTATGCAAAGGAAAGAGACGCCTGATACGGAAATCCTGGTTAAATGCGATGTTTTTATCATTTCTATGGGAACGATATAGCTGCGATAGGCAATGGAGCCAGTACAATCCAATGTTTAGCTAGCTTACGCGAGAGTGAGATTCTTGGCTGTACGGACCCTATCGCTTGCTAACAGCTGCAGACGCGAGAGCCACCGATAGTTTTGTTCGTGGACCAACACGGCTGGCTCTACCTGTATTTCTTCGCAATACAGACGCACAAGTTAATTGCAGGCACTTTCTCCCCTGCTACACAGACCCCAATCATGTCCAATACATAGATGGTAGTCAAAGCAATCCATACCGCCCATGTGTTCCACGATCACACTACCATCGCAATGAGCGGGTACGGGCATGATAGGGCGTGTAGGCGCGGGGATAGGGACTGTTACCTGAGTTGAGCACCCCTCAAATCCATACAGAGAGTGAATGAACGCGGGAATAGGTGACACATCGCTCATGGCCATAGGACATGTGTTTGAGTCGGCCCATGATGGGATACTAGGGATTGAGGGAGGCGCACTCCATGAGTCAACTGTAACAGGGTTGCCGTAAGGACCACGTTGCGACCATGTATTGTTAACAAGAGAGCTAAATTGCAGCGTAGGCTGTGGGACAACTTGAACGACCCTGGGGCGAGGGGGAGGTAGCAGAGGCTTCATAAGAGCACTGATACAATTCTTGACCTCCTCACTCTTGCCGCAGAGGAGTTCGCCGGTGCCCTCCTCCTCAAGACCCTCAAGGGCGGAGACGTGGGTGCAAAAAACAAATTTATTGATGCCCTGGACAAAGTCTTCGTGAAGCTTCTTACACTGCTTCTCCTTGTCTGTCCAGTCGTATGGGTTGGCCTTGGCATCGACACAGTGAATTTCCTTGTGGTACTCAACGAGCGCATCGATGGTATCCTTTGTGAGCTTGTAGGAGACCTCATTTCGCAGAACTATGTCGACATGAACAACGTAAGCCTCAACATGGACGAGCTCATAGTTCATGATGGCCTCGAATAGAGGATTGCTGGCATCCCGCTTAAAGCCAGACTCGGGTGTCTTGGGTAGCATAAGCGACGTCAAGGTCCAGATGGCATTCGGCGACGAAAGAGTTTCGGTGAGACATCGCTGGTGCTGCAGTACGGAGTTAAGAGGGCGTTTGACCCTATTGATACGCTTCAGAGTTTGTGTGAGCCACGGTTCAACCTTTGAACCCAAAGCAACATCAACGGACGAAGCTCGAGGGGCAAATGCAGCAGCGGATGCTGGTAGGAGTTGCACAGGCATGATTCTTCGTCAGATGGTAGTAGAAGCAGGATGGATGTTGGACCTGATTCTTGTAAAGGACTCTAGATGCACAGTCGCAACTTGAGAGGGATATGACCAAGATACGTAAGGTATTTAACAGAAAAAACGAGAACTCTCAAAATACGGGCAAACAATTCAGCGGAGCAGATAAAATGTCGTTACTTCGCGATGTTTGCTAGCGCCAACAAACCTGTCAAGGATCACCTGCATGAACATGTCAGCAAAACCCCTGCATATTCCTCCTCTGCATCATATTCCTGTAGCATTTACGTGGAAATGTAGGCCGCCTCTCCATGTTTTTTTTGCACATTGTCTGATACTAATTCGAGCCAGGATAGCTAGGACACTGCCAAGTAAACCATACAGCTCCGTGTGGCTTGAATCGAGTGAAAGGAGGTTCGACAGTCAGCACAAAGCGGAAGGTGTGTAGGATGTGTATCCACATGCGTATTTCCATTCTGACTGTAGTATCATTAATATCCAGAAGTTGCATTTACTTTTGCTACCCCATAATCTTCATTATGTCAGTAGACCATGCCCCTGTTTGAAGACGCTAGCAGGCCAATAACTACTGATTTGTGACTCCATTTGGAACGTTCAATAACACGCACCAGACCTTTGACAGATTAACTTGCTGAGAAAGCTTGAGTTAGGCTGGCTTGACCTCTCATAGTAATATGGCTCCCTTTCTTGTCGTTTAAGCGTTTTCGCCACTGCCTAAAAACGGGGCTGAGGTGTGGAGTCGGCGAGTGCATCAGAAATTTGTCACGGGATGTCCAAATAACAAGGTCGACAAATTTAGTAGATGGTTGCCGTTCGACGAGTAGGTGATAAGAGCGGCAACGGGATACTTTGTGAGCAAACATCGAAACTTGCCTCCATTGATCCATGGTGACGCGCTAAAGATGAACTTGGTACTGGACCTATGCGCAATCAAAACACCGCCTACTTCTTCCCATTCCAGGGCCTGAGGACATGCGACTAAGTAAGTATTCTCCCGTCGAGTGATTGGAAGTCTCCACCTGTTGACTGCTTCATCCCCTGTCCCATACCCACCTCGGGATCGCCGACCACCCGTTATGGGGACAACAAATCACCCGCTTTAGACTAGGCTAATCCTAACAATCAACCACAATCGCTGCAATATCGCACTTTGTTTCTCTCCATCCAAGGGTTACCATATGGTACAATGTGAAACACCGCCATGGCTTATGAGAACCATGACGGACCTGCCAGCCATCATAGCAACACCAGCGACTGTCGAACACGCGCCTCGATCGATCAGCGTCTGTAGAGCTTCCCTCAGCCTTTCTGCACCATCTATCACCGATGAAGCACCGCATCATGCGGTGGAATCTAAGAAGAACCGACCTCCAGCAGGCCCCATTGAACCAGTCAAATTTCCAGTCAATCAACATGGACCCCGGCATTCGAAAGGCAGTGAAAAGTTCAGGAATTCAGGCTCTTCTTGACGATATAGATGGAACAACAGCAATACAACTTCCAAACATATTGGGTAAGCCCTCGTCTATCCGCGCAAACAGAGGACCTTGGTGCGAGGTCAGCTGTTCATCACGGCAATTCTTCAGGAAATTGAATGGCATTGCACTCAGTTGAATTGTTACCACACCTAGCTTCATGCTGTATGTAGATGGGGTTCAAGACAAAATTAATTAGTGACATGCGATTTGACAGTTCAATCCATGCTACAGCGAGAACGAGAAACGCCATTTGAGGCCATTCTTCCATCAGCAACGGAACATGCCAGCTCTTGCTGTAATCACAATTGCCAGCCCTTGATCGTTGCTTGTACCGTCACAATAAAAACCTAGGCGGAATGGATAGAAAAAATAGAGTCCTTTCCTTTATCGGCTCGTGTCAACTTGGTTGTAGATACCAATGTACTGGCCTGTTGCAATTGACCTGGCGATTCGCTCCGGCTACCTTGCTACCTTGCTGCTAAAATTAACTGACCCCCACATTCCGATACCAGACGCCTTTCGTTCCTCAAGGCGTCAAGAGGACGAACGAAAAAGCGGGGCCAGGCCATGTTAGATACGCACGAATACGATGGGGTGAGTGTATCCAAGTGTGGACCAGAATGTTGTGATGTTATTGATCGTCGACTTGATTCCTTTTGATCAGTCTGTCCGCGAGGGGTTTCACCCCTCTTTTGGATACAAGAATAATATTGCAATAAGGGAAGTGGAACCCATTCCTGTTGGATTAGTGATAGCGCCTCGATAAAAGAAACATGTATTTTGTGGGTTCCCGGATATATCAATTCCGGGTAGCGGGGAAAACACCTGTTAGATTGGCGGCTGGGAATGGGCTCCACTTCTCTTATTGCAATATTATTCTTGTATCCAAAAGAGGGGTGAAACCCCTCTTTGAAAGACTGATCAAAAGAATTAAGTCAATAATCAATAACATCACAACATTCTGGTCCACACTTGGATACACTCACCCCATCGTATTCGTGCGTATCTAACAACACCTAAAAGGACAGAACAGAGACAGAAGCTCCTGGGGACGAGATGAATCCTGAAGGGTGAAAGTTTACCCTATTTTAATTGGATATTTTGAAGGTGAAGAGCAACAACAAAGAAAAGGCTGTACAAGACGAAATCTTCCAACACTCTCAATTGCAAGCTAAGTGTAAACGGCCAGTTAGGTTCAATTGAGATGAGGTCTTTGTCATAGGATAGAGAATTAAATGATCAATTCAATGATACCAAATACGAAGGAAAAAGAGTAAAGAATGTTGTATGAAAAAGCGTCTGAAAGCTAAAGTCCTCCGGGGAATCCGTCCCTTTATGTCTGTTACCACAGACATCCATCTGACCCCACTAACGAAGCTTAGACCTCTTACCCTGGAATGCTTGCCACAACCGTCACAATATTAACCCTAATCTACATTGCAAATTCACGCCTTCCTTTGTCATCACACTTTCTTGGCATACAAGTGTTAAGAAAGTGCCCCTGTCTGCACCAAGATCCTTAACAAGCGCACAACAAACGACCCAACCTGCGCTTCGCGCAGCCGCAAGCCGCGGCGATGGCCTCGTCCATGACGAGCCCGCCCGCTGTCTCGGATCGCTTTGATCTTGGGATCCACACCCCCGCCAATCTAAACCGAGGAGCCCGTGCAGCTCTCCTGCAAAACAGCCCTGCAATCGTCAACGGTCCCGTTGGTGTTTCACCCGGACCCGGGCGGACGGCGCAGACACCGTCCTCACCACTCAACGCCGCCACCACTGCTGCAGCTACGGAAGGAGCTGAGCGTGCCAACCCCACATCGATCTTTGAACAGCCAATCTCTATTATCAAATCGGCCAATGACCTCGCCCGCGAGCGCGTGGAAGAGTACAACGCCAAGCTGATGGTTTTCCAAGCCTTCTGCGCCAAGTTTGAAGAAGCCGCTCAGCAATTCACCGCCGGACCGCAGCGACGTTTCGCTCGGCAATTCGCCGACAGCTTCCTCGGCATTTGGAAACAAGAGCTCTCCGGCTCTGGACCTACGACCCCCAAGCCTACATACAGCAGCGTCGCTGCCTCGCTTCCCGCTGCCCGGCCCCGTCCGATTCACCACCATCAACAACAACAGCAGCACCGACAATCTGACCCACCCCATCGTCAAGGGCAACAACCAATCATCGCCCCACCTCGACAGGACCTCCGCGTCTTCATCCGCCTAGAAGCCGGAGCTCCGGCCAGGGCCCACAGTGGCTACGCAATCCGGACCCTGATCCGGGAAAAACTCGGCGCCGTTTCGAGTAAGATTCGACAGGTCTTCCAGGTCAGGACAGGATGGGCCGTCCTGACCGCCGACTCCGAAACACGCGATTTCCTCGTAGAGAAGCAGGCCGAGTGGGCGGCTGAGCTGAGAGCTACGGCAGTAGAAACGAACAAGGAATGGCACACCTATGTAGTCTCGGACTTTCCCAGAAGACTGACCGACTTTCGCGGCAACGAGGTGGACAGTGACAGCGTTGTCAGCGACGAGATAGAGACCCAGACAGGGCTCAAGCCCGTTGATATACGTACTGGAAGACAATTCTCAGATAACCCCTTGACCAAGACCCTACTTGTGTCCTTTCTGAAGCCTACCAAGAGATTCTGGTCCCTCTTTGGCAGCCGCGCCGCCAGACTGATAAATAAAAACGACCTGCCTAAACAGTGCGAAACGTGCTGGGGCTATCACTTCGCCTGCAGCTGCCATAGGCAGCCAGTCTGCTAACGCTGTGGCAAGACTAGCCATATAGTAGACGACTGCGCTGCACCAGAGCAGTGTGTCAACTGCTTGGGCCCCCATGAGGCCAGCTTTCGTAGGTGCCCAGCTCGGCCGAAGAAAGTGCGCGGCGTCCTCCGCCGAATGACCAAAGAACAACGAGAACACGTCCGGATGATGGGCGCAGAGACATACCGACAACGGCATTTAGATCCACAACTAGAGTCTCATAGGGAAACCCAAGAAGACACGGCTGAGCTGCTAAGGAATGATATCGCATTGGATGAACAGCCGGACGCTCGCGCTCCGAGTCCGGCTGCGTCAGGAGCACCCTCGTGCATCATGGTGGCCACAGCCCCCCAGGCCGGTTATTATGAAGCAGAGGGGGAGCCTGAGCATCCTGGACCAGGCTCACCGAAGAAGAAACGTCGAATAATCCTGACCACCTGTACTAATGACCATGACCAGGAATAGATACTCACAGACACGGAAGAATGACAAGAAGCCGCTCAGGGTCTTCCAGGCCAACGTCGGCAAGATCCCACCAGCCCACGACTGCGCCTTGGCGCTGGCCGACTCGGAACGATACGACATCGTGCTTTTGCAGGAGCCGTGGACGGCTCATACAAAAACCCGCTGCACGACTAAGACTCACCCGGCATACGATACGTTCACGCCTGTCGACATGTGGAACAGCAACGACACTCGGCCTAGAGTGATGACATATGTCCGACGAGACCCAAGACTCCTCGCTGACCAAGTCCGGCCCTTTGAGACACGCGACATTCTTTGGCTAACGATCAACGGCACGACGATAGTCAACTTTTATCGCCAGAATGACGAGAGGGATGCCCTGAACACGCTACTTCGATGGCCTGTCCCGGAGCGCTGCGTGGTTGCTGGCGATTTCAACGCCAGACATCATAGTTGGCAGACGGGCCAAGCTACGAATCGCGGCCAAGAAATTGCAGACTGGACGTCAGAGCACGACCTCAACCTTCTCAATACTCTTGACATACCGACAAATCCGCACGGTAACACAATCGATCTTGCATTCACCAACCTGCCGCTGGCCGAAGCTACCGTCGAGGACCACCTCGCCACTAGCTCCGACCACTTCACGCTCAGCTTGACCTTCCCTGACATCAGATCGACTCCAATGCAGCCGAGCAAGATCCGAGTGACTACAGAAGACGAACTAAAACGATTCGTCGAGATCGTAGAACTTGGGGCTACGGAAATCCCCCTGGCAGACTCGACCCCCGTGGAGCTGGACGAGCTGGCATCCTCACTTGTGAGTCTACTAACATCAGCAGCAAAGGCATCTGGACGACCCGCAAGAAAAGGTGGACGTCCAGCTCCCTGGTGGACGGAGGAGTGCGCTGACGCCGCAGCTACCTTTCGAGTCATCCGAAGGAGCTACCCGCTCGGTTTCAACCAGGATGTCCAGATAGCCAAGAAAGACTTTCACCGTGTGGTCCGTCAGGCCAAGAGGCAGTATTGGCGAAACCTCATCGATAGCTTCTCCAGCAGTAGCGCTGTTTTCAAAGCTGTCCGGTGGCTGAAATCACCAGGAGCTTTCCAGCCTCCACCGCTTCAAGTCGATAATGTTATCTACGAAACCCAGATTGATAAGGCCAATGCACTCCGACAAGCTACACTGGAACGAAGAACTGCAGAGGATGACATCGCAAACGCATGGGCATCAGTCTCTCCCTCTAGATCAGTCCCATTCTCACCCGAAATCTCGCTGGATGAGGCGCAGTGTGCGACCATCCAAACAGGTAATACGTCACCGGGGTCAGATAACATCACAGTCAATCTCCTCAAAGCCGTATGGCACATCATCGGGACGCACATCCGCCGCCTGTTTGAAAGATGCCTCCGTATAGGTCATCATCCTAAACCATTTAAGGAGGCAGAAGTGGTGATGATCGCCAAGCCCGGACGACGTGATCTCACATCGCCTCGAGCCTGGCGGCCCATCTCTCTGCTCTCCTGCCTCGGCAAGGGTTTAGAGCGATTGATCGCGCGCCGCCTAGCGTGGGCTGCCGTTCACTACAGCGTCCTTCATCCACAGCAAGCTGGGGCGCTCCCCAAGAGGTCGGCCACAGACTTGGTAACTGCTCTGGTGCATGATATTGAAGAA